TTATCGGCCGATCGGAGAAAAGAAGATACGGCAGGTTGAAACTCAGAATGTGGCTAAGTAACGCCATGACCCTGCTGCTGTGGCCATCCTCGGTAGTGGATGAGCCCCGGAAGGTAATCGCAGAGGTACGGTCCACGCTGGGATTCAGATTTCGAGCCTACACAACAGCCCAAGGGGCACTTCTCCTGGGAGCTGCTCTGCTAAGATTGATGTTGTAGTCTGGATTCTACTGTAGTAATGCTGAACTTGGGCGCTGACGTTGACTCTTTCATGGAAGAAAATTTGCACAGCTTGTCTGTGGCCTCCCTTTGTGGCGGCTGGAGAGTGCTTTCGTACTCGCCGCCAGGTCGTTGACGTCTTGACTATGAGTTGTTGAGGTACATTCGTATCCGGCGTTTGCGATGTGGCTCATACCACCATGGGTGGATGTCCAGTTCTGCAATGAAGACAAAGAGACGGCCGCTGCGTAAGTACTGCTGTTGTCTGGGCAAAGCTATTGTCTCTTGCGAGCTGGCCACAGCACAAATGGGCACCTCCTGCTACCACCTGGAAGTCCCAACGAGCGGGCCACGCAAACCCAAGTACGTGTGGAAACAAGGAAGGCGGGGAGTTGTGTGAGAAGGTAGCCGGAGGACTGAACCAACAACGAGGGACAGTCTCAATCGACGCTGTTGGCACTCAACACCCCTCACTTCACTTTCACTTCATCTGCTTCAACGGTCTGACTATGACGCATCGTCGAGACTCGCCGCTCGCACACATGGACGGCGTCTGGCTGTCGCCCCCGCAAGCCCAAGGCTCTGCTGCACGAGCTTGAGGCCGAGTTGCTGGCATACTCGCCCGAGGAGCTGGTGCGCATCGCCAACGAGCAGGTTCGGTGATGTGACGCCGAGATGAGGCGTGCATTGCGCGAGCTCGACAGCGACGACTGGAAGCGCAGCTGGTGGTGGAGCTGCGCGAGGGCGCCAACTTCGTGCGCGAGGACCAGTGCAACTACTTTGTCGGCGCGCTGAGGCTGTTTGAGCTGCCCAGACATCGAAATGCTGTACAAGCGAATCCCCAACCCCCAAAGCTCCTGTCCCAGCGTACTCTCCGACCCAGAACTGGCGGCATTGCCTTGGTGTCACTGGCTCCTCGCCCTTCGATCGATCACCCGTCGGCGCCTCTAGAGATTTGGTAGCCGCTACTCGTCACACTGCAGATTGGCGCGACGAAGGAGCAATTATACAGGCGTGGCATCATGCTAAAGCGGGCCGTTACGCTCGGACCTTCCACCCCACTGGATGACATATGGCCTCCAGCGACACCTTTTTCCTCCAGCGACACACTTCCTCCAGCGACACCTTTTCCCTCCAGCGACACCTTTTCCCTCCAGCGACACAATTTTCCTCCAGCGACACCTTTCCTCCAGCGACACATTTCCTCCAGCGACACCTTTTTCCTCCAGCGACACATTTCCTCCAGCGACACATTTCCTCCAGCGACACCTTTTTCCTCCAGCAACACCTTTCCCCCAGCGACACCTTTCCTCCAGCGACGCGTTCCCTCCAGCGATACAGTTCCAATACAATCAGCTTGTGCCAAGGTCTTTTCGGTCCTATAGTCTCAAGGACCAGAGTACGCTCCAATGCTATCGCCCCTTCTTTGGGGGTTCGGCGGCCGATTCTCGTTTCTGCGTGGCATTAAGCTACAGCTGATTGTCGGCTTTTCGGCGTCATTTGGCTGCGTCTCGCTTCATCCCGCTCATGGAAGTCGTAAGACGCAGCGGCCAGCGACCCACTTTGTTTGATGGTTGACACGCAGGCCGCCCGAAGGTGTACAAGGCCACAGGCGCACGCCAGCCATTTCTCGCTTCGCATTGGGCAGCTACAGGGTGTGTAGGTCTCCCGACGTCATTACGTGGTGACGGTGTTTCTGCCATGAGTTCTGCAGTGGTTGTATTGTACATTACAGTATGTAAGGGACCGCGTCATCTGACACTTTGCGTCGCGTTAGGAGCTAGAGTACATGCCGGGTACTTGACGTCGTTAGTTGGTGAGGGCAAATCTCTGCTGTGCAGAGCACGGCGGTGTGGCGAGCCCGGATGGTATACTTAGGTCTAGCGACTGCTAGAATCTAGGATTGGCCGAAAAGTATTGCTTGGACCTACTGTAGAGCTCGCATAGCCGTTCAGCCTTCCGCTGTCAACTATGGCAGTTGTTCCTTCACACCTTGCAGCCGGATGTCGATCCTTGACATCCGGCCGCCTTTGGACCGGCCCATTATTGACAGCGCTTGTAGGACGTAGGCATTTGCGTGATGCCCTTACCGCTGGTCTGCCTGGAGAAGCCTCAAACCAGTGACCCGCCTGTCAGGAACCAGATGACGCAGCTGGGGTGCACCACGCACCGCGAGAGGCTGTGGCTAGATGCAGAGGCAATCAGAGGGAGCTACAGTATTGTATATCAAGCATCCCGAGATTTTCTTTAGTCTCCAGCTTCACCTTCTTGTACATAAGGATATGATGCTCGATACAGTCGCTCATCTGGCTGTCAACCCTCGCTATTGAAACGAGACCGCTGCATTATCTCGAAGCCCCTTTCGCATGCGCGTCATTGGCCTGTATGAACTGGTTAGATGCCGGACAGTCCCTCGCACGGCGCGGGATAGAAAAGTGGCTTATTAGGCGAGGGCCAATTGATTGAGGTCAAATGAGGTGTCCCCGCTCGGCGCAGTACCCGTGCAAGCCGACATCAGAAGGCCGGATCCGTACGGAGAAAGGGTCACCTCCAACAGCTTGCAGAAATCTCCCATGCTCGGGTAGCAATCGCATGTTGATACTTGCGAAGACGTCAGTGAGCCAGCGGGAAGCAGAAGGCTTCTGGCGATGTTGCAATTGACCATTGGATACTGCCAGGATCCCGCACAGAGTGCGGGCAAAGCTTGCGAGCAGTATACTAAATCTCTACGAGACCCTCGTTCACAGTTTAGTGAAAGGTCCCGAGAAGGGACAACCAGGAGCCCAGTTGACGAACCAATTTACGAGCAGTTTTGACAATGGAGGAAAAGAATCAGGACGATTGCTCATTAGGGCGGACGACCCAGATGCTCATACAAATGGTCAGCCAGTTGTCAGAGCAGCTGCAGAACAACCAAGCACGACAACAGTCGCCACGCACCGAGCGGGAAGTAGACCTTGAGGAAATGAAAACCCAGATCCGAGTTGGGCAATCACCAATTGCGATACGAGCAGCCACACTGGAAGCCCCGCCGGCCACTTCGGCCGCCCGACGCCTTCCAGCGAAACAGCACGCCTTCGATTGCGCCAGAAAAGGAGAAGTCGACGCTCCCAGAGCCCCCACGGTTTGAAGGGACGAGGCTGGTGTTTCGGACCTGGCTCTGCGAGATGAAGAACAAGCTTCGAGTCGATGAAGGCGCCATTGGAAGCAAGGCGGATCAGTTTGCTTACATTTACGCCAGACTGGGCGATGCACCACAACAGATGACGGTCGCGTTTGTCGAAGCAGGAGGAAGCGATGGTACGTCAGATCCGGGGCAGTACCTTCGGCACCTGGAAAAATGTTACGGAGATCCGAACGCAGGGACCAGGGCTATGGAAAAATTGCGGTCCATCCGGCAACGAGATAACGAGTCATTCGCAACATTCTTGCCGAGGTTCGAGAGAGAGATAGCGGACTCGGGCGGAATGACTTTGCCGGAGCATGTCAAGATCAGCTATCTGGAAGGCGCCCTCAATCGACAGATACGCCTCGCAGCAGTTCACTTGGACCTGGAACGCATGGGATATTCGACATGGATCCAGACCCTGCAGAATATATCGTCGAGGCTCGACGGGGTGAACCGGGAAGGAAAGAGGCGCGGTGAGGAACTTCGGGGAGCTCCGACCAGGAACCCACACATGGTCACCGAGAGCCATCGCCAGCGCCTCCGGCGACGGCGAGGGGCCGTGATCGGATGAACTGGAAATCTACCGCAGTCGGAAAGCACAGCAGCCGCAGAACTAAGAAACGGAACAGCGGAGTTCACCCTGCCAAAGATGTACGTAAATGCTTTCGCTGCGACGAGGTGGGACATGTAGCTGCCTATTGCACGCGGGGAGCCCGTGCCCAGCCAGCAGACGAGACGGAGCGCCCACGGCAAAGGATGAAGGCTGCGAAATTTGAGCCTGGAGAGAGCAACAAACAAGCACGGGTTGGCAAAGCGGGCAGTCCGTATGAGACCGCCACAAACGATGGGTTGGAAAAAGAGTAAATTCCGACGAATACGCCGCCTGAAGCAATAGCAAGTTCTGATGGAAAGGAATGAAGGCAGATCGAGGACCGAATGACAGCCCTCCATTTCTAAGTCAACATAGGCGCCAATTCAGAATACTATTCGCTGATTGCAGCACTTTCCACAGAAATCCACTAAACTTTGCGTCAGCAAGCTGCGCGTGACGAGTATTTTGATCGAGCAACAAAACCTGGCCCAAACCAGCACTTCGTCGCTAGGGGCGATCCAGGAGTAGTGTGTGCTGGCATCAACGCCGACTGGTACGGCAAGAATCGGGTCTTCTTCTACATCAGTCCCGGATAAATGTGGTCATCCTCAGCCGGACGTGGATGAGCCCGGAAAACGTCAGGCTGTATTTCTGGCTTCCTACGGATAGATCCAGAGGCGGTTGGCAGGGAGAGAGAGCTCAACCAGCACTGAGCATAACGAACTATCCGAACAGTGAGCGGGCGACATTTCCAGGTTGTTCGGCGAGCGAGGAAGTAGAAAGCGTTTGCGCTAAAGAAGAGGGCTGAAGCCAAAGGAAAATTTGCACGCACTATCACGAGTACTCGTCGGTCTTCGGCCGCGACGAGCCAGACCCAAGGATGCGAACCACTCAATTCAATCCACGAGATGCCTCAATTGCGTTGAGTTGACCTTGTCAACGGCCCCCTCCAGTGGAGTTGATCAATCGGAGGTCAAATTGAGTTGAATGTCCACCAGTTGACGTGTCACCCCAGGTGTACCTATTCCCACTCCCGATCGTCTGCCCCAGTTTCTTCGAACCTCGTCATCCACGGTATGTGGTCTGCCTCATCCTCTGCACCCAAGTTCGCAACAGGGAGCAATAGTACATCCAGATCGTCAATCACCCCAGCCCGTAACCACGACCGCAGAACTTGGCACATCCCAATAATGTCTGCATCAAGCCTGCTTCGTAGGGGTGTCACCATACGCCCACACGCCGCAAACAGTCTTTCACACTCCGCTGACATGGGCTGAATCGTAAGGAAGTCTAGCGCCATTCGCGAAAGGCGTGGATATCGTCTTCTGCGCTCATGCCAATACGAGATTGGATCTCTGACTTCGTTGTCGCCGTCCTCAAACGAGGACTGCCACAACTCAAGCTCGTCCGTGTCTTCGCCATGGTGGTCTGCTGGAGAAACTCCCTCGTCTTTCACCAAAGTGCACCTAGGCGACGCCCGAGTGCGCTCACAGTAGGCTTGGAAGGGGTTGTAGTACTTCCGCTGTCGTTTCGCAGCCGGTTCCTCGCATTAAGCAGAAGCACCCCAGCGGCACCGGGTGTGGAACGGGAGGGTTATGGCCGATGGGAGCGGGCGCAATTGGCCGTAGGCGTGATACGACGGTGCAGGTCGGCGGCGTCCTGTCGATATTCTTCTCGTATTCCCGGATGGGGGGGATGGGGCCTGGGCCAGGGACGGGAGCAGACGCAGGCACGTAGCCAGTCGGTTGAGCCTGTCGGCCGTCCCACGAGTCCGTGGCGGGTGTAGGAGGCCACCATAAATTCTTCGGTGATCGTGGCGGCTGCGTCTCCGACAGAGGAGATCCCAGGTAGCCCAAGTTGAATGCGCCGGAGGTTGGAGAGTTCGGAACGGCAGTCAGTAATAATTAGTTCTTACGGCGAGCCGCAAGCTCTCGTCGCCTGCCCCGGGATTGGGAGGCGAGAGTCGATTGGAAGCCTACTAGAAGCTGACCAAAGCTTGCGGAGGTCTTGGAGCGACTGGGCGTGTGGTGGTCGGACTCCACTTTGGATGCTCGGGGCTTAGCTTGTTTGTACCCTTACCTTTGGGGATTGGAAGCTCTTGTGCCGAACCATGGGGCTTAAGGAACCGCATGTTACTTCAGCGCTACCCCCCAGTCGGCGGTCACAGAGAGCAGAGCGTTTGCTGCCGTAAGTTGTGGGCGAATACTTAGCGGCATACGGCGCGGTAGTGCTTGGAGGCTCGGGGCGGAAATGACGGCCACAGGCGACGTGGGGATAGGCATTGGGCGGGACGAGCCAGCTCCGACGGCTTGCGTTGTTCTGTGCCATGTTGAGCCTCAGAACTCTCGCGTCGAATTACAGGCTCCAGCCTGTCCGTAGCAGAACTGGGTTCATACAGAGACTCATGGTCAAGACTGGTCTCCAAATGTCCAGCAGTCGCCTCCATGTTTCAGCAGAGCTGTGATGCGGGCGCCTGGTTCGGTGGCTGCCGGGCCGTTGACAGACGAGATGCCTCCTTTAGCTGCCGCCTAATTCCTGCGCTTCCAGATTGCGGTTCAGGAGCGCTTGCAACCAACAGCGCTACTGTACTATACCGCCTACGCTGTCTCAATAAGCCACCTAGTTTGGCGTGACGCAGCCCGTGGCCTGTCGCTCAAGCACGGGGG